GCCCCGGTCCGGGAAGATCCCACATGCCACGGAGCGGCTGGGCCCGTGAGCCATGGCCACTGAGCCTGAGCGTCCGGAGGCTGTGCTCCGCAACGGGAGAGGCCACAGCAGTGAGAGGCCTGCATACCAGAAAAAAAAAAAAAAGAAGAGGAATGCCATGGTTGGGGGTTCAGGAAGATGACTGGGCTGTGGGAGCCCAGACCAGTGGAAGAATGGAGGTTCCGGCAGCAGTCCTGTGGGGGGCTGAGTACTGGACCCGGGGGCTGGAGGACCCGAAGGGAGAGAGCGGTAAGGGAGAGGGCGTGGAGACTGCTGTCCTGGCACGGAGATAGAGGGGGAGAAATCCCACGTGAAGCCTAGGAAGGGGGGGCGGTGAGACCTTTTGGGGCTTGTTGACTTGGAGGGGCTGGTGGGACGTCCTTGGAAGTGTATTTGAAACGTGGGGCAGGAGGAGGTGGGATCTGGAGGGACACCGTAATAAGGGATTAAGCTAAGAGTCAGCACGCTGGAGCGCAGGGACATGGTGTGAGACCCAGATCATTCGAACTTCATCTCTCTGAGGCTCAGTTTTCTCATCTGTAAAATGGGTTGTTGTGAGGGCTCTATGAGGTAAGGGTGTTCCTGGAAGCGCCCCATCAGACACTTGGAAACACCGTCGCTACGGTTTGGGTGGCTGCGGGGAGCCCAGACGAGCGTGTCTGGGTTCAGCGGCCGGGTGGGCTGCAGGGGCACCACTGCCCCCTGTTGGCGGTCCTGGCCACAGCGTCCCCGACCTCTGACAGGCGGGGCGACCCGGCGGGCTGCTAGTGCGCCGGCAGCCCTCAGTCTGCCCGTCGGCTCGCTCTGGCGCCGCGTCTGTCCGTCGATCGATCGGCGGACGCCCGCTCCACGCTCGGCGGGTGGGCTCCCGGCCCCTGGATCTCGCGGGGCGCAGACTGCATGGTAGGTGAAGGGGATGCCGGCGTGGGCACGGGCGCGGCTGGAAGAGCGCGCGGGCAGGGTCTCCCCAGGGCTGTAGGGATCGGAGGGAGCGTCGGGACGCCCCCCTCCCCGGGGGACTCGCAGCCTTCTGGGGTATTTCTGTCTTTTTGTCGGCCACGCACGCCGCGGGGGCTTAGGGAACCTCTCTCGAACCTGGGTTGGCGCCTGCGCATTCCCAGCTCATCTCCTCTGTCCGCGCTCGGGGCCCCGGTCCGGGAAGATCCCACATGCCACGGAGCGGCTGGGCCCGTGAGCCATGGCCACTGAGCCTGAGCGTCCGGAGGCTGTGCTCCGCAACGGGAGAGGCCACAGCAGTGAGAGGCCTGCATACCAGAAAAAAAAAAAAAAGAAGAGGAATGCCATGGTTGGGGGTTCAGGAAGATGACTGGGCTGTGGGAGCCCAGACCAGTGGAAGAATGGAGGTTCCGGCAGCAGTCCTGTGGGGGGCTGAGTACTGGACCCGGGGGCTGGAGGACCCGAAGGGAGAGAGCGGTAAGGGAGAGGGCGTGGAGACTGCTGTCCTGGCACGGAGATAGAGGGGGAGAAATCCCACGTGAAGCCTAGGAAGGGGGGGCGGTGAGACCTTTTGGGGCTTGTTGACTTGGAGGGGCTGGTGGGACGTCCTTGGAAGTGTATTTGAAACGTGGGGCAGGAGGAGGTGGGATCTGGAGGGACACCGTAATAAGGGATTAAGCTAAGAGTCAGCACGCTGGAGCGCAGGGACATGGTGTGAGACCCAGATCATTCGAACTTCATCTCTCTGAGGCTCAGTTTTCTCATCTGTAAAATGGGTTGTTGTGAGGGCTCTATGAGGTAAGGGTGTTCCTGGAAGCGCCCCATCAGACACTTGGAAACACCGTCGCTACGGTTTGGGTGGCTGCGGGGAGCCCAGACGAGCGTGTCTGGGTTCAGCGGCCGGGTGGGCTGCAGGGGCACCACTGCCCCCTGTTGGCGGTCCTGGCCACAGCGTCCCCGACCTCTGACAGGCGGGGCGACCCGGCGGGCTGCTAGTGCGCCGGCAGCCCTCAGTCTGCCCGTCGGCTCGCTCTGGCGCCGCGTCTGTCCGTCGATCGATCGGCGGACGCCCGCTCCACGCTCGGCGGGTGGGCTCCCGGCCCCTGGATCTCGCGGGGCGCAGACTGCATGGTAGGTGAAGGGGATGCCGGCGTGGGCACGGGCGCGGCTGGAAGAGCGCGCGGGCAGGGTCTCCCCAGGGCTGTAGGGATCGGAGGGAGCGTCGGGACGCCCCCCTCCCCGGGGGACTCGCAGCCTTCTGGGGTATTTCTGTCTTTTTGTCGGCCACGCACGCCGCGGGGGCTTAGGGAACCTCTCTCGAACCTGGGTTGGCGCCTGCGCATTCCCAGCTCATCTCCTCTGTCCGCGCTCGGGTCCCGCAACAGCCGGGGTAGGCAGTGCGGGTGCGGCGGGCGCGGGCGGAACGTTTGAGTGGATGAAGATGCCCCTCGATTCCAAAGTGCGGGGATTAGGTGTAAGAGAGGCAGGGAGGCTGGGGGAGGCTTCTGGGTGGAGGCTTCGGTGAGGAGAAAGATACTCGGGATTAAGAATACTTGGGATCTAGAAGAGAGACAGACCTGAAAAAGAAAGTCGAGTGGTAGGTGCGCAGGTACATGGGCCACGGGAGCCCCAAACCCCCATCTGAGGACAGGAAATGGAGCTGAAAAAAGAATCCAGGGAGAGGATCCGGGAGCCGAGCCTGAAAATCCGCGGTTGCTCCAAAGGGAGGGGAGGTGGTGGTGGTGGGCTTGGGGAATAGGCTCAGAAGGGCAGCTCCTGATCTTTCGCGCCAAGACACATTCCCAGTGGAATCCCGTTCAACCCCTGCCCCATGTCCCTTAGACTGTCCTTCCCTTGCCAGGTGGGAAATAAGGATCATGTCACTATGCATTGAAGTTGAGCACCTGAAATGTGTCAGGCACACTCCTGAGAATTTTATTCTTTCATTTAATCTTCCCAGAAACTATGAGGTAGGCTCTACTTACCCATTTTACAGGTGAGGAGACTGAGGCACAGTGAGGGCATGTCACAGAAGAGGATAGCAGAGCTAGCATTTGACCCTAGGCCAGTCTGTTTAGTTCCATGGCCTGGGTCCTTAACTACTATATCTGGTGGACTGGCAAAGAGATGGGAGCTGGAGAAAGGAGAGGGAACCCCAGAGCTGGCAGTGTCAAGGGTGTCAAATATTCCTACTTCAAACAGTTCAGGTGATAGAAAACAGAAACAAGAACCAACTTTTGGATCAGCATTATAGTTTTTGGCCCTTTCACTGCCTTGCTTGATCCCCACGGTGACTCAGTCCTCACAGTGAGGTGATGTAATCAGGCCCTTCTGTGCGTCAGGGAGGCCCTGTGTTAATACCTTTCATGTCTTAAATTCCTGGATCCTTGTAATATGGGAACAGCCACAGAGAAGTCACCATGCAAATAGTCCCACAGTTCGAAACTGGGGAGGCTGGATTTGAATCCAGGCAGCTGTTTCCAGAGACCTTGCTCTTAAAGACCATGTAATACTGTGCATTGTGCCCATTTTACAGATGCCCAAACTGAGTGTCTCTCCCAAAGTCCATGACTTGAAAGGGGAGAGACCCAAAGGGTGACTGCTGATGGCATAGCCCATGCTTGAGAGTCTCCATCACTGTTCAAAGGTTTCAGTAGATCGTGAAATTTAAAATTGAAATCCCACTTTTTATCATTTTAAAGATATACTTGTTCTTGTTTTTTTGGTCACACCGCACGGCATGCGGGATCTTATTTCCCCAACCAGGGATTGAACCCGTGACCCTGCAGTGGAAGCACACGGTCTTAAACACTGGACTGCCAGGGAAGTCCCTAAGATGTACATTTTTAAGATGAAATTGTGATGCATCTTACAATGGAGGGCGGTGTTTTTCCTTCTCAGCGGCACATGATATATCGGCCTTCTTGGTGTCGATGGCATCTTTGGTTTGACGAATAACAACAGAACCAGATTCCCTGAGTGACTTTTCTGGGTGTCTCTCTCTCTTCTGTTCCACAGGCTCCTCTCTGCCTCAATTGCTCCACCCTCCCTGGAGACAGGTCCCTGGGTACAAGGAGCCCGGTGCCCTGCAATGGCAGCAGCGTCCTGGGGCCCTTTGACCCCCAGGACTTGAACCTGACTGATGAGGAGCTCAGGCTCAAGTACCTGGGGCCCCAGCAGACGGAGCTGTTCGTGCCCATGTGTGTCACGTACCTGTTGATCTTCGTGGTGGGCGCCGTGGGCAACGCGCTGACCTGCATGGTCATCCTGTGCCACAGGGCCATGCGCACGCCCACCAACTACTATCTCTTCAGCCTGGCCGTGTCGGATCTGATGGTGCTGCTTCTGGGTCTGCCCCTGGAGCTCTACGAGATGTGGCACAACTACCCTTTCCTGCTGGGCGCCGGGGGCTGCTACTTCCGCACGCTGCTCTTCGAGACTGTCTGCCTGGCCTCGGTGCTCAACGTCACCGCCCTGAGCATAGAGCGCTACGTGGCCGTGGTGCACCCGCTGCAGGTCAGGTCCGTAGTGACGCACGCCCACGTGCGCCGCGTGCTCGGGGCCATCTGGGGCCTCGCCCTGCTCTGCTCTCTGCCCAACACCAGCCTGCACGGCATTCGGCAGCTGGACGTGCCCTGCCGGGGCACAGTGCCCGACTCGGCCGTGTGCACCTTGGTCCGCCGGAGAGCCCTCTACAACCTGGTCGTGCAGGCCACCGCGCTGCTCTTCTTCTGCCTGCCCATGGCCGCCATCAGCGTGCTCTACCTGCTAATCGGGCTGCGGCTGCGGCGGGACAGGCTGCTGATCCTCAGGCAGGAGGCCAAGGGCAGGGCCAGGACTAGCGACGGCCGCAGGCTCCAGCCGCTGCAGGATAGGGGTCGGACACAGGTGACCAAGATGTTGTGTAAGTGTTGCTGCTGGGAAGAGGGGCGGAGCCAGGCACTGGGTATGGGGCTGGGGCTTCTAGGGGCCTGGGGGAAAGGGCCGAGTGTTTCGGTTTAGGACGGAGGCTGAGTGTGAGGTGTGGAGTAACCCCCCCGCCCCTCACTCCCCCGTGTGTGTGTGCACGCACTGCGTGTGTGTATACTCTTCTAGATTACCCTTGAGAAAGTGACACCAAAGGTAAATGCTAATGGTTCACGGGGGGGTCAGCTACATAATCTGTGGGGCCCAATGCAAAATGAAAATTCAGGGTCCCCTGTTAAAAAATCATTAAGAATGTCAAGACAGCAATAGTAGAGCAGCTGTCTTTTTAAAAAATAATTAATCAATTAATTAATTATATTTATTTTTGGCTGCGTTGGGTCTTCATTGCTGCACGCGGGCTTTCTCTAGTTGCAGCGAGCGGGGGCCACTCCTCGTTGTGGTGTGCGGGCTTCTCATTGCGGTGGCTTCTCTTGTCGCGGAACATGGCCTCAAGGCGCGTGGGGTTCAGTAAGCTGCAGCACACGGGCTCAGTAGCTGTGGCTCTCGGGCTCTAGCGCACAGGCTCAGAAGTTGTGGCTCACGGGCTTAGGTGCTCCACGGCATATGGGATCTTCCCAGACCAGGCCTTGAACCCACGTCCCCTGCATTGGCAGGTGGATTCTTAACCACTGTGCCACCAGGGAAATCCCAGAGCTGCTGTTTTGAAGGTTTAAAGGTCAGGACTCTGTGCAAACGCACAGGTGGCACCCATGAAGCCAGCCCTTGCTCATGGAACCAACCACAGACAGGGCAGAGGTGTGCGGCTGGGCTCCAGGATGACAGAGCTGTTCATGGGCTCTGGACCCTCCAGGTCTCTCATCTTTGCTCCCAAATATGTTTTGGTTCTGTCCTTCCCTAAGTAGCCTGAGAGGCAGGACCACGGGCACAGAGTTCCCCTTTCCTGAGGAGCTAACTGTCCTCTTCCCTTAGTGGCTATGGAAAATCCCAGGGAAGGATTCTGACTGGTGGGCTTGGGTCACGGCCTGCCACCGGGCCAGAGTGGCAGGATGCTGAGGTAAGCAGCCCCCACAGACCCACATGGGGATCCAGGGGAAGCAAAGTTCCCAAAAGAAGGGGAGCAGGGTGCTGGAAAGGCAAGATGATTAATTTCCTGCACACCATGTCTGCGGTTCCCTGGGGACCAGAGGAAGGATCATGTTCTAAAAGAGGTCGTTGGAGGCATGTTTGTGAGGGTCTGTGTACAGAGCACAGGAGAATCAGGGCAGAAGTGTGGATTGGGGCCGACCAGGGCACGCCCAGCTGGCTTGAGGCTCTGGATCTTACTGTGGCCTAGGCCTGGTGCTTTTTCAAAAACAGTGGCCCTGGGGAAACCAGGCAAACTGATGCTAAGCCAGTCATTGATTCCCTCCCCATCCTGCCCTGTCCCACAGAGCCTGAATCAGGTAGGTGGGGTGAGCCAGGGCAGGACAGGGCTGGTGAGACCTTGGTCAAAGCCATGGGATTATGCCCAGCTAACTGGAAACTGTCCCATTCCCAGAGAGAGACTCACTCCTCTCACCCCCCAGAACAGTGTCCCAGAGCCTATGGTCACTTGTACAGCCCCCTAAGATGGGACTGAACTGGAGCTGTGTGCTTGCCTCCTGCACTACAGACCACCTACCTGGGTCTGCCTCTGCTGCCTTCTACTGCCCTGCCTACCCGGGCTGAGTCTGCTCATCTGGGATGGCTCTCGCCCTGGAAAATTGGGGTGTTTCCTTAAGGCTGCCTTGCTTGCTGGCCCGGGGCTCTGGCTTTCTTCTCTCCCTCCTTCTCCTGTCTTCTCTTTCTGAGGGCCTACTGTGCACCAGGCTGTGTGCTGGGGATGTAAGCAATGTTCTGATTGAAATCCGGGATTAAGAGGAAAACCACTCTGGAATGTAAGGGGGAGGACACTGCAGGGGAAGGATTGCGAGCTGGAGATGCAAACATGAGAAACAAGAAACAAAAATCAACACAGACCTGATAGCAAAGACCCAGGGAGGGTAGGGTGAAAACCAGGGCTGGAGGGAAGCTCCGGAGAAAGAGTGAAGGATTGGCTGGCCTGTCCTGCCTTTTACTGGGGCTTGGGGTGGGGCTGTTGAGGAAAGGGGAGGTAATGCAGGGCAGGATATTCAGGGGCACCCAGGAGAGCTGGTGGCTGGGGCTGGGAAGGCTTCTAGGGCCAAGACAGGCAAGTGCGTGGTGGTGGTGGGGCTGTTTGTCTCGCTTTCCCTGTAGCTCCCTGGCTACTGCTGTCTGACCACGGGCCTCATCCTCCTGTTCCTTTCTGCTTATGCATAAGCGGGCATGGCTCCTGAGTGGCACCCAGCATGGGCCTTAGCCACACTGTGTCACGCTGGGGCTCAGCTGTCACTTAGCTCCAGTTCCACGGTGAGAGAATTGGACCCGGCCAGTTTGGCCCGGGTGTCCACACCTGGTCCAGGGCGCACGCCCACTGCCCAGTCGGTGACAGTGGCGAGAGCAGCCTCTCCTGTAGGGGTGTGGCCAGGACAGGCAAACTTCCAGAAACCTCCAGATGGACAGTGGGTGTGGGCGGCTGGTGGGAGGGGAGAGGAGAGAACAGGCTCCCTTTCTGCCCACAGTTGTGCTGGTCGTGGTGTTTGGGATCTGCTGGGCCCCGTTCCACGCCGACCGCCTCATGTGGAGCCTCGTGTCCCGCTGGACCGAGGGCCTGCACCTGGCCTTCCAGCACGTGCACGTCGTCTCCGGCGTCTTTTTCTACTTCAGCTCGGCCGCCAACCCCGTGCTTTACAGCCTCATGTCCAGCCGCTTCCGGGACACCTTCCGGGAGGCCCTGTGCCTGGGGACCCGGTGCCGCCGCCACGGTCCCCGCCACAGCTCCCGCAGCCTCAGCAGGGTGACCACGGGCAGCACCCTGTGTGACATGGGCTCCTCCGGCAGCAGGGCCCAGCCCCTGGCTGAGAATGGTGGCCCAGAGGCGTGGCAAGAGACGGACCCCTCCCGAGAGGAGCCTCAGGCAGCTTCACCCTGAGGGGCCAGAGGGCCACGCCCAGCTTTGGGGAGCACACCTGCAGCATGTCTTCGTGGCCTGTCTCCCTTTGTGCCCCGACCCCACTTCAGCCTAGAAACCCTGACCAGCACCTCAGTGATCCTGCCCCACCCATGGGTCGGAAGGACTGTAAGGTTGCTGTCTGTCCTCCAGACTCTCAGGTCCCCAGTTCCAGCCCTTCCCCTGGAAGGGGAACATCGTGGTCGGATAACCCCGCACGGCAAGGCTCCATCTGGGGACCCCCCACCCCCAGCCCATTTCTGAAGTGTTTCCGTGGCGCCCTTCCTTTCCTTCCCATTTCTTGCAGAGCTTCTGCGAGTTCTGGCCCATTCTGTCCCTCTCTAGCTCCTGGCCTGCACCTGGGATTCTGACCCCACCCCTCCCTGGCCCCCAGTCGGCTTGTGTTGCTCTGGGAGCTCCACCCGGTGGAGCCACTAGGAGGCAGGTGTGTCAGGGATCCAGGAAACCTGGCTCCGATCTCGGCTGAGCCAAGGGTCACCTGGTCCCGGCATCAAGCAAACTGCCTCGCCTTACAAGCCTCGGGCCCTGTTTGCAAAATGAAAGGGGCCATGACATTCTAGAGTGTCGCGCTTCGGCACTTTAGCTGTGGTTTTCTGTGTGCGTGCCTAAGTCCCTGCTTGTAACAAAACAGATACCCTCAGATTAGCAAGGCGGAAATTACTCTTTACATCCTCACTAACCCCCAACGCTTACTCCCTCCCTGACCTCTACAAGCCCCCCACCCCACCCCCTCGAGAGCCACTCGGGGAACATTCTTTGCTTGTCCTAGAGCAAGTGAGGCTTGGCACCGACCAAGGGACTGTGTGTGAGCAGAGGTCCCTGCCTGCCTCTGTCTTCACCTCCTCACAGGTTGGCTTGGGGGCCTGAGGTGAGCAGAGAATTGGGCCTGACTGGCCAGAGAATCTCTGGGGGCAAGAGACATGGGCCAACCAAGGGCAGCGAGTGACTCCGCGAGAACTGCTTGGGACTCACTGAGGTGAGAAGAGACACGTGAGTCCTGAAACGAAGCTCCATCCCGAACCCCTGTGGGTAACTGGGTGCTCAGTCCGGACCCAGTTAATGGCCAGAACTTGTCCTGCCGCAGCCCCTGCCCTGTCCTCCTCCTGGGAGGGGGCTGCAGCAGGAGGAGCCCTGGCCTCCCTTCTCCCTGCGGGCTCTCCCCGCAGACTCTCCACAGCTCAGGCCCCAGGTCCCCTGACTGCAAGGTGGAGAAGATTGTACAAAAATGTCCTGGAGTTTTTGAAACTCAGTCGTGAAAATAATAAATGCTCATTTTAGAAAAACTGGAAAAAGTACAAATGAGCAAAAATGAAAACAATTTGAAATAATGAAAGCCCACCCTTGCTAGGGCATGGGGGGAGGGGGAAACAGAGAGTTGTTGAATGGGTAGAGTTTCAGGTTTTTAAGAGGAAAAAGTTCTGGAGATTGGTGGCAAAACAATGTGAATATGCTTGAACAATATTGAATTGTACACCTAAATGGTTAAGATTTAAATTTTATATGTATTTTACTGCAGTTTTTTTTAAAGAAAGGATTAAGTCTAAAGGAAAAGAAAAAATTAAAAAGCCACCCATAGCTTTACTTTCCAGGGGTAACCACCACATATAAGACAGGATGGGGGGATCTGAGAAAGGAGCTTGTGAAAAGAGGCTGTGCAGAGCTATGAGTGCCCAATGTCACCTCTGAAATGAGCTCCCAGGCGGCCTTGGGGTGTTGTCGGGGGAAGCAGCTGAGGCCAGACTTCAGGCTGGAGCCTGCCGTTGTTCCCAAAGACAAACTGGACTCCCCGGGGCCTCTCTTAAGTGACAGAGACGACATGCTCCTGAGGCTCTGGTCAGTATTTATGAAGGGGCTACCATGGGCAGAGAGCAGTGGGCAGGTTGGGGAAGCAGAGGGTGTGAGTTATCAGAAGGCCTGGGCTCTGTAAATTTGATGTCTCTCAGGTGTCTCCACGGCATGTCAGTGGGTAGGTCCCACTTGTCATGAGTCACTGCTTACCATGGAAGCAGCAGCTGTGGGTTCAGCCCTGGAGAAGAAAGGATGGAGGTGGAGAGGCCAGCCAGCAAGATCCCACTCTCTCCTGGAAGCAGCATCCCCTGCAGCTTGCTCTTCTGCACTGGTCAGGGGGGCAGCAGCGTTCCCAAGTGCTCAGTGCTACTCCCAGGACAGGAGTCCTGGCTCACCTGGGACTCGAGTCACCTCCCGTCCTGGCTCTGGCTGCAGTCACACGGATCTGTCCTCCTCCCACGTTCGAGAGTTTGGGCCCGCTCTAGTTCCCGCCTGCTCCACTCCTGCCATTAACCTGGGCGATGCTGAAGTCCCCGTGGGTGACCCACTGCTGCCCTGGTATCAGCTCCCGATCTCTCCTGCGGCTCTGGAGACTTTCCTCCACCGTGGCCTTCTGGCCCCTTGGTAACATCCCGACTCCCAGAACCTCCGGGCGTTTTTCCATCTCTGGAAGTGTGAGCTCTTGACCATGATCGCCTCCTTCCTGCTCTGCTGCTCTATAAACGATACATTTATTCTTTAACCACATCTAACCTTCCCAGTTCTCGACCACTCTGCTTTCTCCCCATCCATCAGCTTCCTCTCATCTTCACTTCCTTTCTGATGGGTCCTAGACCCCATGGTCCATCACACACAACCCTCTCTGCCAGTATTTCTGAGGGCCAAGGTGAACATACTGGGATCACCCTTTCCTTCTCAGGAAAGAAGGCTTATTTTCTTTGGGAACTCACCAAGACGAGTCTCATCAACAAACAAAGCTGCGTTTACCCGCCCTTCCTTCTGTGAAGTAAGTGCTCAGGAAATATAAAGTGTGCAACACTTCACACCTGTCCTTACACAGTCAGACAGCGTTTCCAAATCAATCCTGACACCTGGAAGGCCATCTCGTTTTGTACACTTCTTGGTGTCTCCCTTTTCCCCATCCTTGTCTTCCAGTGGGTCCACCGAGTCTTCTTTGTTCCATGTCTTCCCTGTAGAGGGGAGCTGCCTTTTTGGAGGGCTTCCTAGTATTTGCACTCCCTTCCCATTGAGGGCGATCCCTGTGTGTGTGACTCTTGGTTTGAGACCAAGCCTAGGCTCCTACTACAGAAGCTGAAAGGGTTCTGGACGCTGCATCACTGACACCACTGTGTGACCCAGGACTTGCACTCAGGCAGCTGGATGATCTGACCTGGGACTTCCACTGGGAGTGATACTAAGACCCATGACAACAGGGGCAGACATGTCCAGGGCAGCAGTGCTAACAGCAGCATCCCATCCAGGCTGCTCCCGGGGCCCCTGCTGCCCAGCCTGCTTTGGCTTCTGCCCATTTTCTCTGCCGGTTTTTCAGCCTTCTTGTTGTTCTGAGCTACTAAGAGCCTTTCAATAAATTCCTTTCTTGCTTAAGTTGGCCAGAGTTGTTTGCTGCTGTTTGCAACTAAGAACCTTAACAGATCCATCTACCACTGCTGTGAAGGTTACATATTCTGTTTGTTCTACTAGTGGCTGTCTTTACATATTTCTAAGATGAACAGATATTATCATTGTTTTGAAACCCCAAACTACAGTCTGTAATACTTAATCATTCTCTTCTCTCACTCTGTTTTTAAAACTCTTTTTTAAGAGGCAAGAACGATGAGGACAGACTTAAGGAATCTGATCCTAGAAACACATTTACATTTTTCTAACAGTCTAATCCTCTTCAGCACAAGAACTTTAGTATGTTTCTTCTGACAAAGCAGTAGGGTATAAAGGTGGTGAGCAGGGACTCTAGTCAGGCTGCCTGGGTTCAAATCCTGGCTCAAAAGTCAGACTGGCCTTAGGCCAAAGTCAGACTGGACTGAAAGGTACTGACACTTCTAAACAAAGGATGAGCAACCTGCCTGCACACAAATAAGAGACTCAGAGGCCAACACTGAGCGCTGCATCCTTCCAAACAGTGTCCAGGTTCCTAAGTCTACGAGGTTTAGTTTGAGGGTGGTAGTTACTGAGGTAAATGTCCCTTTGTGAGGCCTCTTTAAATGCAACACCCCAACTTCACCTTCTTTCAAGCTTCTGCACAAGGCAGGGCAGGACAACGGGGGGGGGGGATTTAGAAATAAAGGCCACGGCCCGGGTGAGGGACAGTGGGGCTCCAGGGAAGGCCGTGCCTGGCTGGGTAAGAGTGCCCTGGCTCAGGAGAGGTGGCCATCCAAACAGTGTCCAGGTTCCTAAGTCTACGAGGTTTAGTTTGAGGGTGGTAGTTACTGAGGTAAATGTCCCTTTGTGAGGCCTCTTTAAATGCAACCCCCCAACTTCACCTTCTTTCAAGCTTCTGCACAAGGCAGGGCAGGACAACGGGGGGGGGGGTGTTTAGAAATAGAGGCCACGGCCCAGGTGAGGGACAGTGGGGATCCAGGGAAGGCCGTACCTGGCTGGGTAAGAGTGCCCTGGCTCAGGAGAGGTGGCCACAGGCTAGAGCTAGGCTGGAGGGCCTGGAAGCTGCTGTCACATTCTCTGGAACATCTACAGGAGTACCTGGGACTTTTGACCTAATATTCAAGTACCTTCATCAGCTCTGAGCAGTGTGGGCATCATTCATTCAGCTAACATGTACTGAGTACCACGTGCCAGGGACTGTACAAGGCGGGGAGGGGGGGAGCATACAAGTGTTCTGACAGCTGCAAGTCTGGGGGCACAGAAGAGAGGCAGCTGCCCCAGTGGAGGGAAGGTTTCCAGGAGGAGGCGACGCTGCTCAAAGTTGTGGGAGAAGGGGTTGGACTGGCCTCTGAGCTTTGGCCAGGGAAGGGCGGAGCAGCTATAATGACAGTTCCACCAAAACTGAATCCAGGAGAGGGGGACCCTAAAGGAAACAGGGGCCGTCAGGAGGAGGAGTGGACACTGGACAGGCAAAAACAATAGCAAAGCAGACTACGGTCCAAGGTCTTTGCTCTCATTCTCTGGACTCCCTGGTTGCTCTTCCTGGAATGTGGACT